TGCGGAATATCGAATACAGCTCTTTACGAAACTGACAATGAGTTCTGTAAAATTTACTGAATTAATTTTTTCCTTGTAAGAAAATAACAAGAAATGAATATTTTCTGGTTTGAAGTTGCACTTTAAAATTTGAAAAAAAATGACTATTAAAAAAACATATTTTGGAAAGAATATCCTTTAGGGAAATAATAACTTAGTCTCTTAGAAATCGCAATTTTTGTTTTCATTTTGATTGCTCATTGTCAGGATTTTTTACTAACCTTAAATAACATATGGCAAATTTTATGTTACCAGACAGATTTTTATAAATTTGACAAAATTCAGAACAGAAGTAAGTTATAACAGAAATTTTAATATGTTAAAAGAAAATGAGCACAATTGTTAATTTCTGATTGAAGCCACTTTGAAGTTGTGAATAAAATGTTATTGCCCGGAATTTTGAATTTTTCAAAAAGAGGCCATTCATTAATTACGTAAGGGTCCTTAGGGGGAGGGGGGGGGGGTTATAAAATCTCTACATGGTCTTACGTCGGTGGGTACACAGAAAATTAAAAGGCATTAAAATAAGCTGCAACGCTTATTATTTTAATACAATTTTGCATATTTTAATCCATTTTGGAATTAAAATAAGCAAAATTGGATTAAAATAATAAGCGTAGCAGCTTATTTTAATACCTTTTAATTTTCTGTGTAGAAGCTATTCTTACGTAAAATTTTGCCAAGTATTTTTCATTTGTATTATTGTAATTAATTTTTTAAATTACATTAATATTGTTAAAAACTTACGTAAGAAGGGGGAGGGGGGGGTCCGAAAAATCTTATGTATTCTTACATGGGGGTAGGGGGGATCAAAATTAGCCAAAATCGTCATTACGTAATTAATGAATGGTCCCAAAGTGTATTTTTGCACAAACGGGAACAAATTGAGAACACCATTTGTTTTTATTTTGTTGTAAATTTTAACTTTTTTTTTTTTTACCATTTTGGACATGTTTTACAACCTTTTAGCAATATTTTCTTAACAACGCAGCTTGATTGGATATAGCTTGGCACATACTATCCAATATATCAGTTTAATATAGAAACGGGAATGTTTCGTTGAAGGTGACCTTAAGCCAGAAGGCCATCAAGAAAAGTGATGGCAAAGAGGAAATGTTTTGCGGCTGCAGAACAATGACTGGAATCGGAAATTGTGTTTTTTCGTCGCCTAATTTTTTTAAAATGAATATATATATATATATATATAAAAATTTTTTTTAAATGATTATATAAATTTATAATTATTACGACAATAAATAAAATTCAGGGGTGCGAATTGTATATAATTTCATTTTGACTTTTATTTTGATTTTAACTGAAATTTTCCACTGAAAAATGAAAATCAAAGCAAAAATCAAAGCGGAGAAGGTACACGGAAAAAAATTTTCTGTAGAATTTACAGAAACTCCTGCGCCATCTACTGATGTTTCTCCAAATAGAGAAATATGTAGAATCATTGGCATTAAAATCTGTTAATTCTACAAGTTTGAGCTACAGTTCTTAAAAACTGTTGAGTGACCAAATTATGTATACTATATGGGGATAATATATATTTGGTAGAGTATTTTTATAGGTTATATTCTCCTCCGAATACATTAAATTCGCGGAACATTATTGTATAAATTAGTATAACTTCTATGTAAATAAATTCATCCTTCAATAATTTTCTAACAAAAAAAATGAGGAGCAAGTTTTCAAAACTTATGATAAATCCACTTTTTCTTATGTCGAGAAATTGAAACAAACGACTTTTCTCACTTAATCACTACAGTTAATTTTAAAATAAAAAATTTCTAATAATTTATTTCTATAATAATGTTTATATACTTAAGACGTTTCCTTTTTAATTAAACTTTCTTGCCGACACTATGATAATAATAAAAACACTAAATTCGCCTTGACCTCTCGCACTCAATCGTACTCAGCCTTAGTCGAATCACTGCATTGTTTTCGCGCATGCGTTAAATCCTTACAGAAAATATCTGTAGAATTAACAGATTTAGGAACATGTAAAATCTCTAAATCGATGTTAAAGAATTACCAGAAAATTTTTTCCCGTTTACTCAAAGTGCGAAATTACACAATTCTACCTCAGGTCGTTTAGGGTTAAGATTAATTGTTTCAGATGAAAAAATTTGAAATCAATTTTTTTCTTAGTCTCATAAATGAATCTTAAAGAGAGTGCAAATAATAATAAAAAGTTGTGGTTGATATAGAATTTGAAAAGTGCATATATGTGATAAATTCAAGTCACATGAGTACATTACATACATTGAGGTCACAATTACCAAGATTGCCAAGGTTTACTATACTACTTTCGGCAGAAAAATTTCTTTTTCAACATTTCACCGTCGTCGTTCCATTCAAGTCATGAATTTTGGTGAACGCCCCAAAGGGACTATTCTACAATCAGGACGCAGGTGATCGAGTTTCGGTGCTGTAATCGACATTACGCAATTATTAGACACTCTATGTAGAGCTCTGTATATACATATATATGAAATTTATATAACAACAATACACCTGGAACAATTCCTCTGAAATCTTATCCCTCTCATCTTATCCACTATATACAATATAAAAGAGAAAAGTGTTTACTTTTATAATTTAATTAATTCCCGCGGTATCTGATGTATACTTTTATGTTTTATTTGTTTTACGCATGACTACTTTCTCTGTGGGAATTTTTTTCTAAAAATATTTTATTGGATGCATCGAAACCGACAATGCCCAAGTAGAAATGTGCCCCTGGCATAGTACTGATCCAACACTGCCAGTCAGTATAACAGTACTGACTGCCGTACTGGGCCAGTAGTGGACCAGACCTGGCTGGTAACGCTGTCCAGTACTGATTTTGTCCCGCTCACCAGTACTAACGTAGTACTAGAATAATACTGGCATAATACTGGCAAAGTACTTATCCGGACTTAAAATCTCACTTTTTTACAAAATGCTAAAACACGCTTTCCAATGCAAATTTCATCCTTATTAGTTTATTACTCCCATTTTTACCACGAACAGGTAATGTGAAGCCAATAATAGTTAATGTTATTTAGAATATATAAAATATTATTAACAATAAATAATTAAAATAATAATTATCATTTATATTAATTAAATTATTTTATTTTTAATAAACTATTTTACAAAAAATAATTTGTGTTGTAAATTTTTTTATTTTTTTAAATTCATAATATTTAATTTTTTTTACTTTGCACTTATACTTAATTTAATAATTATTTAATAATTGATATTACACATGAACAAATATTGTACTTATAACACTTAAAACTAAGAACGAAAAATCTCGCACGCATGGGGGATCGAACCCTAAACCCTTAGAACGCAAGTCAGATACGCATACCGCACAGCCGCGCTGGCTTGAAGTGCTGACTTGAAGTAGTTCACCTAATACAAAAGTTTTGATTTCAAAGTTTGTATTATCTATTGATCACGAAAATAAAATGAATTTATTCTTAAATTTTTTAAACTCACAAAATTTTTTCAATTTTTACAAAGATTTAATGAAATAAAACTGGATATCAATTTCAGTTAAATATTTTTAATAAATTATTTTTACCGTAAATAATATTAAAACAGAAAAAAATGATTGATGAATTACATAATTAAAAATAAGTTAATAAAAGACGACTATAAAATATAAATGATAAAAAAAATTTTAATTTAATTTAAGAATACATAAAATATATCAACACCCAAAAAAAAGTAATCTTAAATTTAGAGGAAAATTCCTCTTCTAAAATCCTCTGAATATTTCCTCTTAAAGTACGAATATTCCATTTCACTGTAGAATATTTTTATTCTTTGTTGTAATGGAACAATGACAAAAGGAGTACCTTTGCATTTTCCTCTTCAATTACGATTTTCCTGTTTAAATTTAGTATATTTGAAAAAAGGAAAAGTAAATATATGATATCGATTACATTTTTTTCCTGTTTGACATTTGTGCTTTTGTTTTTCGAAACTGTCAATTTTCGTATTTTGTTATAATAATGTTGTGTTATAAATCGAAAGACCAAAATGGAAAAGAGACTCGAAGATTTACTAAATGATTTAAATCTGGGTGGATATATTGAATGGAGGTATAAATACAGAAAATATAACCTCTCGATGAATCTTCATTTCTTACTAATTTTCTTAAATATTTGCGTCGAACTTGTTTGATATTTGCAACTGGCTACAGCATTTTTTATTATTATTGTAATTAAATCTAATGTATTGATGCTCAGCATAAAGCAAGAAATTTTTTTCAGAAATGTTTAATTAAAAACCAATATTTCATTCTTTATTACAGGAATCTATTATAATTTACCTTTTTTGAATGTAAATAATTAAATCTTATTAAATATTTATTATATTATTCAAATTTAAAAAAATTATTGGTTCTCTTGACATTAATAACACTAGGAATTTTTTTTGTTGAGGTTTTGATATCAACATTTAATTCAATGTGTCAAAACTGTACTTTATTATCAATACATAAACATTATTGTCTAATAATTTATTCAAAACCTGTGTAATACGGTTATTTTCAACTTGTCAAAATATTAGAATATTATTCTTCCTTTAAGAGGATTTTTTCGAGAGGAAAATCCTTCTAAATTAAGATTATTACTTTTGATACCAAAATTAAGAGGAAAATATGCATTACATTTAGAGGAATCCTCTAGAATGAAGATTACTTTTTTTAAGGTGAAATAATAAAGAACTATCTAGTATTAAGGTGTGTAATAATAAATTAGAGATATTCTACTTTTAACAGCAAAAATGAAAACACAAAGAATTAACTATTTGTTGTTTATTAATAATAAAATACACAATATTATTTTTAATTCGTTACATTTTTGTTTGAATTTGTTCCATTGAATGCATAATTTAATTATGCTTTTGATAAAAAATGAATAAAAACTTTAAATTTTTAATTTGGAATGTTTTGATTTTCATCTTGTTTTTTTTAATTGTCTTTGTTGTTTTCCTCCATCTCTGTCCACTGCATCAGATAGCCAGCGACTTAATGTTGACACAATTTCCGATTTCGTTGTTGTAAGAAGTTTTAAAATCACACCTATAACATAATGTAATATTTAGATAGAAAATTTAAACTATGTAGACAAATTTGAGAATAATATTAAATAAAATTACACACCTTCCAAACATCGGTGAATATTAGTTTGAGAAAAGTTTTCTTTTCTAACTCCTTTTGTTAATTTCCCACAACCACTGTATTGAAGTTGAACTTCTTTTGTTAAAAACGATGGTAATACATCATTTATTGCGCTTTTAACTGTCTTTGCACCAGATGAACGAAGGGTCATGTACTCAATCTGTTAAAAAAACAAAGTGATAAAATTAAATGCAGAATTAAAGAAATTTAAATTAGATACAAACTTTAATATACATACTACGTGTATTTGATTATCGCCTGAAATATTTGAATCCAAAAGTTTAAAATTTGCAAGATTATCTTTAGGAAGATTTTGTAGGATCGGATTCTTTAAAAGATTGTCAATAGAAGACGCAACTTCATTCACTTTAACAGCATCGGCAATCATATTCAACTTCTTTTTTAAAGTGTAAAGCATTCTTCTCTCCAAAGTTTCAAATCCCTTAACAATTTTCACATTTATCATGATGTAAAATTCTTGTACGGACATATCACCTGTAATAAAAGTTATTGACATTAATTTAAACACATTTTTAATATTTTATATTCAATTCTTTTATTTATAATAATAATAATTTAATTTTAATAATAAATAATTTATAATAATAATTTATAATAATGTTAACAAACAATTGAATATAAATATCAGAATGTAAAAAATTACAAGAAAAAAATAATATATGGGTGATTCCACGTCAGATTTTAGTTCAAATTTTAAATTCGTCCAAAACTATTTTTTTTCATTCTTCATAGTAAAAAAACGTATACGTATTTTTTTTTTTTTTGGTGCCAAAATTTTTGAGTTATGAATTTTCAAAATTTTGGTTTTTGAAAAGTAGACCTATTTTCAACGACCTACAACTTGAAAACTATTGAATTTAGAAAAATTTCATTAAGAGAAAAAAGTTTCGATTTTTTGTCGACTTTTTAATAATGTCAAAAAAAAAATTATTTTTGAATTTTTATTAAAAAAATAATAATTTTTTATAAACAAATTCATTTTTTTTCAATTTGGACATTTTTTTAAAAATTTTTTTTTCATTAGATACTGATAATATAATTATTAACGCCGCGCGCTCAACTTGCACGCAGAGTTCAAAAATTCATTTTCACCCATTAAACTCATCAGGCCCACTCCAAAACTTTGTGCAAACGTTTTTTATTATTTTCAGGTACCTATCTAATGAAAAAAAAAATTTAAAAAAAAATGTCCAAATTGAAAAAAAATGAATTTGTTTATAAAAAATTATTATTTTTTTAATAAAAATTCAAAAATAATTTTTTTTTTGACATTATTAAAAAGTCGACAAAAAATCGAAACTTTTTTCTCTTAATGAAATTTTTCTAAATTCAATAGTTTTCAAGTTGTAGGTCGTTGAAAATAGGTCTACTTTTCAAAAACCAAAATTTTGAAAATTCATAACTCAAAAATTTTGGCACCAAAAAAAAATACGTATACGTTTTTTTACTATGAAGAATGAAAAAAAAAAAATTTTGGACGAATTTAAAATTTGAACTAAAATCTGACGTGGAATCACCCATATATATACATTAATAATTATATGTATTATATATAACTATAATATTTAATTATTTATTTATTTTTATCACCAAAAAAATTCGAAACAATTTATTGTTTACTGACCTTTTAAATTGCCTTCAGATGTAATTAAATGATTTAAATTTAAATCGTAAGGCGATTTATTTTTAGCTTTGACAGAATTTTTCTTTTTTGATTTCTTGACTTAAACAGCCGATGTATTGCCGTTACGTGGAGGTGAAAGAGTGGAATCTTTTTTTTTGAATTTTCTTTAGGTTTAGAAGCTGTAGAATGTATTGAACTCGAAGAAGATTCTAAACGCTGATATACATTTCCTTGACTTTTCTTTTTATGCCAGTTTTTCTTCTTTGAGTTTTTCTTTAAAGAATCTTCTCTTGCCGTTGAAGTGCTAGATTCATCAAAGAACGATAAACTTTTTTCATCTGTTAACAGATAATTGAATGCCTATATTTTAGAAAGTATGAAATAGTGTGACAAACTTGATATAAATTGAAAAATGTAATTATTAATGTACGATACAAATTTTTTTTTTGATATTTACATAATAACTAATTAGTTAAATGTTTATTCAAATAAATAATAATTTTAATTTTAAAAACATATTTTTTAATAAAAAAAATTATCGTTTTGTACCTATTGGAATAATTTAAAGACTTTTTTATATTTAATGTTTTCTTACAACCGACATAGTACTGATTCGGTGTGAATGACAGTGAAATGCCAGTACTGATTTTAATATTTTTTTACCTCCGACATAATACTGATTCGATGTATGAGTCAGTACACTGCCACTACTGAAAGTCAATACTGACAGCCAGTATTGGATCAGTACCATTCCGGTGTTTAATTACGGCGAGCTACGGAAATTTCTACTTGGGTGAGTATAGGAATAAAATTAATGAATATAAAAAGAGCCATTTTTGAAACTGAAAATTATATTATACCTTTTTTGCAAATATGTTATAAACCTAGATTTAAGACGAACATAACCTCAAAAGTCAAAACCGAATATCAAAAACAGGTTAAAACGAACATAACCTCCAAATTTAATACCAAATGTCAGAAACATAGGCTAAAACGAACATAACCTCAAAAATTTCAGATTAGTTGTCTTTCTTCTATATTATAAAAATAATAGTACATTTAGAATAAGAAAATAATTAATTAAATTTTTGTTAAGATTCTTGTGAACTAAAGTGGGTAATGTTTGCGACTAATAATTAACCTAAAAATTATTGTTTTGTTTCAGATCCAGCGACAACGACTCTGAACATCTAAATTTCTCATGGTAAGTGACAATTGAATAATAATACTAAAAATCTTTATTTTATTGTGCAGCCCGTTTCAGAATGCAAAAAATAGGCACTTTTTTACTACATTTTTTCTCACCCATTTTTATTCTAAATTAGCGAAAAACTTTTTACTTTTAAAAATATAACATTTTAACAAACAGAAACATTTTTTGTTTTGTTTTTAAATTATTATTTATTGTTTCTAGAGGGCGCCAAAGTCAGAGTATAAAATTTGTAATTTTTTGAGGTGCCCCCGATAGAGCAGTCCCTGATAATTTAAAATCAAACAAACCATATTTTTTTATTTATTTATTTATTTATTTAAATAAATTGCATTCATTAAGAAGGTTCAAACTATTAACATAACCTCAAACGTAAAAGTAGTTTTTAACAGAACTAAAAAAGTATACTTAAAATTGGTTTCACCGAAATTCGAAGGTTCCAATTGTATAATTTTTAATTATTTTGAGGTTATGTACAAAAATTACAAATTTTACATTCTGCCTTTGGCGCCCTCTGGAAACAATAAAGAATAATTTAAACAGAAGAGAAAAATTATTACTTTAATTAAAATACTGTATTTTTTAAATGTAAAAGGTTTTGTTAAATGTAGAATAAAAATAAATGAGAAAAAATATAAAATAAATAAGTGTATTAATTTTGCATTCTAAAATGGACGTCTGCCTTAAACACACCTGGTATCGCAAATTCTAGTCAAGAATGTGTATATAACAAAATTGTCAAAATTACAAAGAAACCTAAAAACATAACCTCAAAATTCAAAAAAGAAATTTAAAAACAAAAAATTGAAAGTCATCAACGAAGAGGCTATGTCCTTTGACTTAAATTTTGAGGTTATGTTTGTCTTTTGGCTTATTAATCTTCAATCTTAGACATAATTGTAAGGTTATGTTCGCTTTTTGTTCTTCTGTCTCTGTCCTTAATTTTTGAAGGGAGGTTGAAAGTAATAGGGCTATTAACCAATAACACTAATTTTTGAGGTTATGTTCAAATTTTGATCTAATTTTGAGGTTACGTTTGCTGATTGATTTCCGTATTAACTAGATATTGGAATATTTTGCGAAAGTGAAGTGATCCAGAACAAAACAGAGTGCCGATGAGTAGTGTAAAAAAGAACTCTTTCAATAATATAATGAAAAGCCAAGGTCACACTCACAATTCCCTTCCCCATTGCCTTTCTTTGCTTTAATTATGTCGTAACTCTGTGTACATATATAGATTACAGTGAGAACATATACAAATAGCAGTTTAATGTAATTAACGTGTTTCCATTCACTTTGATTTAAAAAAAAAAATTTTTTTCGACATCTCCTTTTGACACTTTGTAACTCTACAATTATATGTTGTGAATTAATTTGCATTTTTCTATTATATTATATAGATATATCTACAAATTCTTTTTTTTTCCTGACATTTTTTACTGCTACTTTAACACTGTATATATATACATATATATATATAAATATGAAAAGTTAAATATGTATTTAAGTGTAGTCATAAAGGCAACTCTATTGGATAATTGAGATTTTAACTTGCACTTAAACGTAGAATAATGATGGCAATAAAAATACTATGCATGGTGCTGTTTCCATTTTTATTCTCTCATCTTATGACACGGGGTATTTCTATTTATTTGCTGTTTATAAAAAAAAATGTTTATTTGCTTAAAGGCATTTTATGATAATCGAAATGAAAACTATTTACAATCGTTATAATGATTTGCAAATACATTTTCTTTTTTTTTTATATTTTGTTAAACATTTTGAAAGCTTACTTTATTTATATTCTTACTTGATGATTCTTGGAAAAAGTTCAATTTTTGTACATGCGTTAACCGTGTAGAAATTACCTCAGTTTGCCCTATTTAACCCTTAACTGGCACAATTCCCGTAAATGTCAATTTATGTAATTTTTTAATTAATTTATTAAAAATTTGAAAAAAATTTAGTTTCTTAAAATAAATTATTTAAAAGGATTGAAAGCTACATTGAAAAAAAACTAGTAAGTTTTAATACTTTTTAACTACTCTGAGTAGTACAATAGGTCCTCAACTGAATTTAAACGGTTCTATTAACTATATAAAAATAGTTAAACCAATGAAAAATGTAATTGGTAAAATGACATTTTGTGATTGTATTAACTCAATTTAAAAATGTTAAAACAACTCAAGATGTAAGTAGTAGATTTTACTACTTGAAGTGGTTCAATAGGCTTTAAGAACATTTTTTTGGTACATTTAATAAATATTTTGCAATTGAAACTACTACTTTAAGTATAGTAAACTTTACTACTGAAAGTGGTTCAATAGGCTTTAAGAACATTTTTTTGTAGAATTAATAAATCTTTTGCAATTAAAACTACTAGTTTAAGTAGTCGATTTTACTACTTAAAATAGGAAAATAAAATTATTTTTTATTTATAATTGTTTATTTATTAATTGTTGTTACCCGGGGGTTTTTGGGGTCGCTGATTACGAATCTGAAGTCTAATTTGAAAAATTCAAAATGGCGGATCCAATAGAGCGAATTTAAAAATTAAAAACAAATTGAATTTGCTTGAAAGTTGTTACTTGGAGGTTTTTGGGTTCGCTGATTACAAATCTGTAGTCGAATTTTTTAAATTTGAGATGGCAGATCTAACCCTGTTGAAAATTCCTATGTGAGAACACATATGGGATCCCATCCAGGATCTCTTGTGAGTTCTTATGTGGGTTCCCATACAGGTTCACACATAAGATCCTGTATGAAAAGGTTCCTGGGATGAACTTGCGTGAGATCAAGCGCACGATCTTATGTCTCTGTAAAAGCAATAACACAGGATCCCATGAGGTTTCCTGTGTAGGTTCCTATATGAACAACACGATAAATAGGAACACACATGGGATCTTATCCGAGATCTTGTATGAGTTCTTACATAGGTTCTCACATATAAGAAGATTAATAGCAGCTTAATAAGATTTTATATCAAATCTTATTAAGCTGCTATTAATCTTCTTATATGTGAGAACCTATGTGAGAACCTATGTAAGAACTCATACAAGATCTCGGATAAGATCCCATGTGTGTTCCTATTTATCGTGTTGTTCATATAGGAACCTACACAGGAAACCTCATGGGATCCTGTGTTATTGCTTTTACAGAGACATAAGATCGTGCGCTTGATCTCACGCAAGTTCATCCCAGGAACCTTTTCATACAGGATCTTATGTGTGAACCTGTATGGGAACCCACATAAGAACTCACAAGAGATCCTGGATGGGATCCCATATGTGTTCTCACATAGGAATTTTCAACAGGGAATACTAATAATCTAATAATAATATAATACTCTAATCTAATACTATTTTGAATTTTTCAAATTAGACTTCAGATTCGTAATCAGCGACCCCAAAAAACCCCGGGTAACAACTTTCAAGCAAATCCAATTAGTTTTTGATTTTCTCATCCGCCATATTGGATCCGCCATTTTGAATTTTTGAAATTTGACTTCAGATTCGTAATCAGCGACCCCAAAAACCTCCAAGTAACAACTTTCATGCAAATTCAATGAGTTTTTAATTTTTTTTTAATCCGCCATATTGGATCCGCCATTTTGAATTTTTGAAATCAGACTTCAGATTCGTAACCAGCGACCTTAAAAATCCCTGAATAACAACTTTCGAGTGAATTTGGTGAATTTTATAAAACATTGCCTGCCATATTGCATCCGCCATTTTAAATTTTTAAATTTTGCAATTTTAATGTCAAATTCGCATTCAGTGATCAAAAAGGGTTCACAATACTCTCTGCTATATCAAAATGAATCATTTTTTCATTTTTTAAACCATCCTAATAACGTAATTTCATATATAGGTATCATTTTTAAGGTTAGTTTGAAATAAATCAAATTTATCGCAGTTGTGCGTTACAGGAAAAACCTCTCCGAGTATTTAAAAAAAAAAAAAAATATTAAAATCGGTTAAGATTTGTGTTGTCGGTAGATTTTTGTCCACAGAGGGTCATTTTTTCCCCAATGTGTGAAAGTAGTAGTTTTAATTACAGACGAATTATTAATTCTACAACAAGAATTTTATTGAAGCCTATAAAATCATAGAAATTA